ACTAATTTAGTTGAGTACGGTGAAGGTGGTGTTCAATGCTTTGGTATTTTTTTCTATTTGCATAGATGTATAAAAATTAATAAAATTAAAAAAATATTTTGATATATAATTTTTATAAATATGCACATCATTTTTATATAACTTCTTCCATTGAAAATAACTGCGTGTCAGCGAAACTAGTATAAAATAATTACAATTTTAAATAATACATATTTTTCTTTGATAAATATTATGAAGTTTTGTTGAACGAAAACACAGTTTTTTATTTATGCTACGGATAAACGCATGCGTATGTAATACTTTGGCATTATCAGATATGTATAGTGTTTATTGYTAACTACATAAGAACATAATTATTTATATTAGCTCACCAACAACAGTCAAAAGTACATTGTCCAAAAACATTGATAAGTAGACAACAGAGATCACACCCAAATCGCTTTCCATAATAAATCGTGATAAGAAAGACCTGTAGATTTTAAACGTTATTATAATATAATAGGTATACACAGGCGGGAAATGACTCCAGTAATTTTAATTATATAAAAATTTAACACAACAAATTGTCAACACATAAATATAGGCGAAACATGTACTAACATTTTGAATATGTTTATATATGCAACTGAATTAAAAAAAATATATTACTAAAATATGATCACATTAGAGCCTAAGTGTTGCGCATAGATCGAACAACATGTAAATGTACTTCTGTATGGTTAAGTGTGCTTAAACTGGGGTTACTTGTTTTTCAAGAGTAGCTAGAAAAAATGATTTCCTGTCCACTGGATACTGCGTTGTCGTGGTAACATTCAATTTTATCGTCGCACATGCTATTTCACGTTCCGTTTTTTTTTATCTTTTGTCAACACCAATGGGTTTTAAATTTAGTACATGGTTACTGATCTCTGAACTTAATTTTTTTTTTTATTATCTCAATGTACAACAGTTCACAGATTTAGATAATTAATAGCTTTGTTTACGAATTATTACAATAATTGTCATTGTTTTCAGTAATATAGGCCATTACAATAACTGAACCACTGTCATTCGTACATAGAAACTATTTATAATTTACGTCTCAGAAAGTGCAAAAAAATAATATCTTAAACATCTGCTTGAATTTTTTAAATATTTAAATATTTTTTTAGTTTATTATTAATTTATAAATAAATTAAAAAGCACCTATTTCAAAATGTCTAGAAGCAATGAATGTTATGACTACTTATTCAAATATATTGTGGTTGGAGACGCTGGTTAGTAGATATTAAATTATATCAATGACAATACTTAGGTACTATAATCATAAAATTTCTCAACATATTTAATTTTAACTTTTTACAAAGTGGTRTGAATATATAGACACCTCCTTCAAATGTGAAAAACAAGAAATAATATTGCTTAGGTATTACAATTTCAATTACACTATACATTTTCATTTTAACACATATTTTATGACTAATTTATACTGATAATAATAACAAAATAAAATATGCARYTTTAAATTTATAGATTTTTGAAAGAAAATAGTCATATCTACGGGAAGTATAATTATTTTTATTCATATCATTATATTATGTGTTTTAGGTGTAGGGAAGACGTGCATTACCAGACAATTCTTATATCATGAATTTGATTCTAAAGAACTGACGACTATAGGTATACATTTATATAATAAATATTCTATTATAAACATTAGTTTGAATTTGACCATGAATGGTTGATTTATAATAATATAATATATTTATGGTGGCTTGGTGAGGCGCGGTCGTACGCTCAATCTGCGGAAAYGCACTGAGCACGTACCGGTTGCAGTTGCTAGCTCCCGGATGGTCACCCATCCGGAATTTTTAGCAACATATCCTTGCCACACATACACAAACACGTGTTACAACCCTACTCACTTAAAAACCTACAAGCAAATA